GCAGGCCCCGCCCCTGACGCGGCGGCCCCGCCCCCGCAGCCACCTCCATCTTTGCCCTCAAGGAGATCCGGCTGCAGCAGGAGCCGGGGCTGCGCGCGGCCCCGCCCCCCGAGCCCGGTGAGACCCCGCCCCCCGTGATGTCATCACCCCGGGGGGGGGAGCCAGGGGAGACCCCCCCAAAACTGCAGCACCCCCAAAATCCCCCCCCAAACCTTGGGCGGAGCCTCCCAATCCCTGTGACCCCTCCACCCCACAGAATCGGGGGCCACACCCCCAAAGTGACGTCATCACCCCCGGGGGGGGGCAGACGGGGAGACACCCCCCCCAACCTGAGAAATGCCAAATTGTCGGTAAAATGCCCCAAAAGGGGAGGCCACCAACGTTGGAGACCCCCCCAGAACCTGGAGCTGCTCCCCAAAACCTCCCAAACCCACAAAAACAGCCCCAAAACGGGCTCCTAAAATGGGGAGCCCCCCCGGGAAGCCCCCAAATCCCCTCCCCCTTTGGGAGAGCCCACAGCGCCCCCCGGAATATTGGGGTCCCCCCCAACCTGGGGCTCCCCCCGACCCCCCCGTGTTTCCCGCAGGAGCCGCCGCCTTTCGGGTGCTTGACACCGAGTTCTAGCTCCGGGCCAGGTACGGAACCCCAAAAACGGGCAATTTCACCCAAAAAAAAAACAAATTTGGGGGGGGGCCCCTCATTTAGGGGGCGGGGCCCTTTGGGGGCRGGGCTAATTGGGGCTAATTAACCCAATTTAACCTCAATTTACCCCCTCCTCCCCCACAGGACCTGAGGCCCGACCGGCTGCTCCGCCCCCCATCCCGGCTGGGGGGGGCCCTGAACCCCCAAAAGCGACGCCCCCCCCCCCCCTATTTTTTAGGGAGAAAAATCCTTTTTTGGGGGGGGGAACCCCCGATTAATCCCGGGGTGCCCCCCCGCGCCCCCCCACATCCAGCTCCTCAGTTTTATTTTTTCAAGGTGAGATTATAGAGAAGAGAATCTATAGGGGTGGGGGCGGGGCTTAGTGGGAAGGGGGCGGGGCCTGGCAGGGGGCGGGGCTTGCTCTGAAGGTACTCGCTCCTTATTGGGGCCTTAATCCACACCCCCCCCCCATGGCGGTACCCACCCTGTAGCTCCTCCCCTTATCCCAGCGTTACTCACTCCTTACTCTGGGGTTACTCCGGGGTTACTCCAAGGTTACTCGGGGCCTTTTCCGGGGTGCCGGGGCCTCCCCATTGCTGCCCTGCGCCCCACCCGTGCATAGCCCCTTACTCCCAGGTTACTCCCTCCTTACTCCGACGTTACTGGGCCTTAATCCGGGGTATTTCGGCCTCCGCCTTGAACCGGGGGTGGGTTTTGGGGTCTCGTTCTGCAGCTTGGCTCTGTAGTTACTCCTCTCTTCCCCTCTCTTTACTCCTCCCTTACTCGGRGCTCACTCTGAGGTTACTCAGAGCTTACTCCAGGCCCTCCTGTTGCCCCATAGATTCCTCCTGAGGTGTTAGTGCCCCTCCCGACTGCAGAGGGACTCGTTACTCCCTCGTTGATTGTTACTCTTGGGTTACTCYGGCCTTACTCTGGGTATTCTGCCCTTGCACCTGGGTTCCTCCCCTGACGTTACTCACTGCTTCCTCCACGTGTGCTCCCAGGTTACTCAGGCCTCAACCTGAGCATCCCCTCATGTCACTGGGGCCTTACTCCAGGGTTACTCGGGCCTTACTCCGGGTTCGCTCCGGAGCACTGCTTGGCCTTTAAGTCCGCGGTTAGGGACTGCTACTCGGTTACTCCGGGGCTGCTCCTGTTACGGCCCCTTCCTCCCACCTTGCTCCTTGCGCCTTACTCGCCCTTTCCTCCCCTTTCCCGCCCCCTTTGCCCCTTTCTGCGGTTATTTGGCCAGTACTCGCTCCACGTCACCCCCCCCACACCCCACGGGTGCTCCTGACTCGGGTTACTCCAGCTTTACTCGAGGATACTCCTGACCGGCCCCGATTGCACTTTACTCCGAGGTCGCTCTCCTTCACCTCCCAAGTTACTCCCGCTTTACTCCACGGTGGCCCCGATGCTCGGGGGCCGCCCCACGACCACGCCCCGGTTGCTCCCACTCTACTCGCACTTTAGCCCGGCTCATGCCAGCGTTCCTCCCGGTTTACTCCGAGGCCCCAAGGCTGCTCCCAGCGCACCCCGCGGTTACTCGCACTTTACTCCCCCGAGGTCGCGCCCACTTTGCGGTTACTCCCGGGTTACTCCGGGGCTGCTGCACGCCCCGCCCCGTTTACTCCAGGCCCCTTCTCACTGTGGAGTTACTCCCACGTTACWCCAGTGTTACTCCTGGCTTAACCCCCCCCCGCCCCGTTTCCCACGGGCTCCCCCAGGTTACTCCACCCCCACACCCTGGGGTGCCCCCCCACTCAAAGCCCCGCCCCC